ACTCAGGCGGCTTGTCTGCAGGATGCGTGTTGGGGGAGGGGGGCGGGGAGAAGAGGGGCGGGTGGAGCCGCTCCGGAGGGTCAAGTGAGGTCAGGCCTGATGGTGGGCATAGGGGTCTTCTTCAGAGCTGTCATACAGCATTAGCCAGTTTCGCTTCATGCACGTCCTGTGTGCCCAGCTCGTGCGGAGGACACTGGACTCATGGGAAACAGGAACGGTGGCCGGTCACAGACAGAAGAGAACCTGGTCCCAAGGAGGGCAGAGGAAGCCTGGTTCTTGGGAGAGTCACAGGCAGAGGGGGTCCCGGTTCTTATGGGTACACCTGGGCAGGGGGGAGTGTGGTGCCAGGAGGGTCCCAGCAGAGGAAGCCGTATAGGCCCGACAGTCAACATCAGGTGCGTGACTGAACCTCACGCTAGGAACAGGGACGGGGAAGTTTTGCTGGACTCCAGGGAGGCTCCCCGTGTGTGAGGAAAAGTTGAGGAGGGTGGTCCTTGATGGAAGCCAGGTACGGGCTGCTGGACAGAGGGGTGACCTCCTGGGCGTCCTGGCCCTGCCCGAGGTTTCAGGGGTGGGTGGACAACCCCCTGCAGAGTGCACCCTGACCTGGCACTACCCACCTGCAGCCCAGAGGCAGAGCGTGCGCGTCCTCGGCAGGCCCGGCCCACGGCCCCCATGGAGGGTGCAATGCAGCTGCTGAGCCGTGAGGGCCACACTGTGTCCCACAACTCCAAACGGCACTATCACGACGCCTTCGTGGCCATGAGCCGCATGCGGCAGCGTGGCCTCCTGTGTGACATCGTCCTGCACGTGGCAGCCAAGGAGATCCGAGCACACAAGGTGGTGCTAGCCTCCTGCAGCCCCTACTTCCACGCCATGTTCACAAGCAAGTACCACCACATCCAGTCTGGGCACTTGGGGGGTTCCGCAGATCTCACAGGGCAGGGACCGGCCTGACCCGCTGTCCCCACAGATGAGATGAGTGAGAGCCGCCAGACGCACGTGACGCTGCACGACATTGACCCTCAGGCCTTGGACCAGCTGGTGCAGTTTGCATACACTGCCGAGATCGTCGTGGGCGAGGGCAACGTACAGGTGAGGGGGCCTCATCTCACAACCCACGGCACCTCTCCTGGGCCTCGTGCCTCTGCTCCCGGTGTCTTCTCGTGCCTCTCCCTGTCCCTCAGTGCCTCACGTCCCGTTTCTCCGTCCCTCTTCCCCTGGCTCTCTCTCATCTCACCCCACAGACTCTGCTCCCAGCTGCCAGCCTCCTGCAGCTGAATGGCGTCCGTGACGCCTGCTGCAAGTTCCTGCTGAGTCAGCTCGACCCCTCCAACTGCCTGGGCATCCGGGGCTTTGCTGACACACATTCCTGCGGTGACCTGCTCAAGGCAGCACACAGGTACGTGCTGCAGCACTTCGTGGATGTGGCCAAGACTGAGGAGTTCATGCTGTTGCCACTAAAGCAGGTAACGTGCCAGCTGGCCTACAGCCTCGACCCTGACCCAGTCCCTAGACCCTGGACCCCAGACCCCGTCCTTAGACCCCTGGCTCCCTTCATCTTGCCCTTAGGCCCTGGCCCTTTGCCCCCCTCCCCCCGCCCCCAACACCTGACCAACCTCTGACCCACGCTCCAGGCTCACGACCCATCCCCTGACCAAGCCCCACAACCTCATCCCCATTTTCTGACCCACCTAAGCGTTCAACCTTTGACTTCTGATCCCATCCTGCCCTGACCGCATCCCTGCCTACAACCTCTAGTCCCTGGTTCCACGTCCCCAGGACTGCTCTGGGCCTAGGTCCCCAGGAACCAAATCTGTGGCTCCTGACCTTGCTTGGCCCCTTCTCATAGGAACTCTGGGCTCCCTATCAGACTCTCCCTCCCAGGCACCTTCAGGGCTCCATGGGCCCCCAAGACCCTCCCCAGATCTCAGGTCTGAGGGTCCCCACCTCCAGGTGCTGGAACTGGTCTCCAGCGACAGCCTGAACGTGCCTTCGGAGGAGGACGTCTACCGTGCCGTCCTGAGCTGGGTCAAGCATGACGTGGACTCTCGGAGACAGCATGTCCCAAGGGTGAGGCCAGCGCCTGGGGGGGCCCAGTGTACCCGGGAGGGGCTGCACAGTGGCTGAGGGCCTGGGTGCACCTGGGCTCTGCCGTGTCCAGAGACCCTTCACAGGAGTGATGCAGGCACGTGTTTCAGGAAGGGTCCAGGGTGTCTGAGAGTGAGTCTCTTCACTGGGGCCTGCCCCCTGACCATGGCACCCCTGCACCCCCCAGCTGATGAAGTGTGTGCGCCTGCCCCTGCTGAGCCGGGACTTCCTGCTGGGCCATGTGGATGCCGAGAGCCTGGTGAGGCACCACCCTGACTGCAAGGACCTGCTCATTGAGGCCCTCAAGTTCCACCTGCTGCCTGAGCAGAGGGGCGTTCTGGGCACCAGCCGTACGCGGCCCCGGCGCTGTGAGGGCGCTGGCCCTGTGCTCTTTGCTGTGGGTATGTTCACCTATCGTGTCCCCTGGTTTCCAGGCCCCCCACATCACCTCCTTCTCCCCTCCCATCCCTGACCTATGCCCTCTATCTGTAAGCCAGCGCAAGCCTACCCCACGTTATATTGGTCACATCCTGCACCCACCCCACGCCGGCTCCTCTTGTCAGCCTGCGGAGGACCCCGAGTGGTGTGACCCGCTCACCAATCCCCACCCCCACCCACCCTTCGAGCCCCCATACTCTTGACCTTGACCTATGCTAGAGACCCCCAGCCCATTGCCTCCCTGGGGCCCCTTGTCCTGCCCTGTCACCTCCCCATCCCTAGGTGGAGGGAGCCTGTTCGCCATCCACGGGGACTGTGAAGCATACGACACACGCACTGACCGCTGGCACGTGGTGGCCTCCATGTCCACGCGCCGGGCCCGGGTGGGCGTGGCAGCAGTTGGGAACCGGCTGTATGCCGTGGGTGGGTAAGTGCGGAGGCTGGTCTGGGGTCAGGGGCTCAGCATATACCCGCTGGGCCAATCCTGACCGGCAACGGACCCCTCCCCTAGTTACGATGGGACTTCAGACCTGGCCACCGTAGAGTCGTACGACCCCGTGACCAACACCTGGCAGCCTGAGGTGTCCATGGGCACAAGGCGCAGCTGCCTGGGTGTGGCCGCCCTGCATGGGCTCCTGTATGCAGCTGGTGGCTACGATGGGGCCTCCTGCCTCAACAGGTAGTGGCCGGGGTCAGGGCCGGGTGGCCTCTTGGGGTTGGTTTGGCTGTAGGTGTGGCTGCATCAGGATTGCAGAAGTCATGCCTGAGGGGAGCAAAGAGGGATCCCACCTGACTCGAGTCACCCGGTGCCCTGGGCTTCTCCATCTGCACCAGCCCAGCTGCCCTTTCTTTTCCTCTCAAGTTCTTCCCAGCAGCCCGGGGGCTGGGCCCATGTGGACACTTGCCCAGGGTCTTTCAGGCAGCCAGCCAGTGGCTCATGCCCACCCAGAAGGCCTGTTTCTTGCTGCAGTGGGATTCTGGGGTCAGTCTCTGTGACTGCCCAGCATGGGACTGTAGTCATTCCGTAGGGGAGGGCAGGTCCTGGAACCAGGGCAGCCTTTCTGCCACTGCTCAAGGTCAGTAGCAGACCTGGTGTCCACAGTGCTGAGCGCTATGACCCTCTGACGGGAACATGGACGTCCATCGCTGCCATGAGCACCCGGAGGCGATACGTGCGTGTGGCCATGCTTGGTGGGTGACAGAGCCTGCTTTGTGTAGTGCCCACACCCCCACCCCTACCTGCCCCCACCCTGAGGACCCCACATGTAGCAAGCACGCCGTGGGTATGTTGACTCTCTGCAGATGGGAACTTGTACGCGGTGGGTGGTTACGACAGCTCATCGCACCTGGCAACTGTGGAGAAGTATGAGCCCCAGGTACGAACCCTCACATTGATTTCCCTTTCTAAGAGCTATTTGAGGTCATCACTCTGGTCACCCATGTCACCCAGAGGGTCAACCCTCTGCATCCCATCCCTTTCGCACAGATACCCTGCCCCGGAGTAGGGGTCTGCGCTGTGGAGAAGGGAGGCTTGTGGTGGGTCTGCCCCCAGCCACTTTCCTCAACCACAGGTAAACGCGTGGACCCCCGTGGCTTCCATGTTGAGCCGACGAAGCTCAG